TGTAGAGCGTTCGGCGTGATGTGTCGATGGTGGCGTGCGAGGATCCTGTGCGCACAGTGAGTTCTTGAAGGAAGCGGTGACATGGAGTGCTGCCCAAGAAGGCCTTTAAGGTTAATTTGGAAAGGATCAGTCGTGAATTTGTCTGGAAATCAACGCGTTGAGTCTTTAAACTTGTATTGGATTTCTTGTTACATTTAGCTACTGACTACCAGGGCTTTGAGTTCAAGCCTTTCGATAACAATTCGTTGCAGTCCCGCCTTTTCTGGGACGACTCGCGACACCGAAGCTGTTCACGTCTACATGCGGGTTTCGTCTACTTGGTAATCTAGAGAGCGTATCCCCTGAACATTTGATGAATGCGTGCGTAAGATGGATGTATTCTAACATAAATTTTAACATATATTTACTGATTCGAACTATATTTTTGTGCTAACTGTAACAGGTCTATTGTCGCTTGCCTGCCGGCGAGTTGTATGGCCTGTGCTGCCACTACGGTTGTTGTTCCCGGCTCTTAGGATAGAATAAGCAACTTCAACACAATACACGTACAGGCTTGGCAAACCGCGCTGTAACACACGACTATTCGTGCTTCCTACTTGTATTCAGTCCTCACTAACACACTTGTTGTGCTCCGTTCGTCAGCAGAGACTTCTACGTGCCCACCTCGCCCTCCGTCACGCCGTACAACACACTGTCCTTGGCGCCCACGCCAAGCGTTCTCTTAGTCTCGACTCCTGCCACACTGTCCGAAGCATTGACTGCCACACACCGCGCCGTCCAAGACCCAATATGCTGCTTCACGCACCCGCCGTTGTCACTCCCACTGCTCGACTTTGGCCACTCCACTGCCAATTCGAACCACAGAACTCCGGAGCTTGCCCTCTCCGTCGCTAAGTCCGAAGTGCTTGGCTCCTTCGTCGCTACTTTGGAAGTGCTCGCCCTCTCCGTTGCCGATTGCGAAGTGAGCGCCTTCTTCTCCGTCGCTGCACCACCGCTCTCTCCTTGCACACTCTCACCATGAACGCCACTGCATCCGCTGGTAACCACCACTCTTACGACCTTTTGCCACTAAGATCGCGTCTCTGCGGCTCCGACACGTTCCACACAATGGGTGCGGCGACTACTCGCCGTTTTCACACCTATTACGACCTTGTGGCGGAGATCTTCAACCGCCACCAACGTTCCGGGACGCTCACTCCCTTTTCGTCCTCCGTCTTGGCTTGCCAACCTATTACATAACCGTCGTTTACAAACTAGCCATACTATTGCACCAGCTTTGCATCATCTTAATTGCACTACATATACAAGTAAACAGCATTGGTCAACTACTACGCATGTATATTCGCATTGTTGCAGCAACTTTTGCATACCCAAACGTTGGTTGACACCCGTCAGCAAGACACTGTATAGTGGACGATTCCCGCAGCCTATCTGAGGTACCTAAACTTTTATTTTGAAACCCTTTCTAAATCTAGAATTGAGCGTGTTCACCTGTCGCCAAGACCTGTACTCGGTTCCGCATCCGCCAAGCGCAATGAACGACGACGACGGCGTCGTGCTTATTATCATGCTAGCCCTCGCGCATGAGGGCCAAGAAGAGAAGGGTGAGCGACAAAGGGGCTAGCACTACCTTACAAGAGCAGATTTGCATCCCGAGCCACGCTATGGCACGGCATGGGAGGCGATTTACGGCGCTGGAAACGACAGAGCTTTTATTACAACGACTGGATTCGACGTAAGCTGCTTCCACTACTTGATATAGTGTTTCGAGCCCAG